TGAAAGCTGTTAAGAGCAGGTCCTGCTCTAGCCGGTTTGGCTCAGTGGATAGAGCATCAGCCCTCAAACTGAAGGGTCACGGGTTTGATTCCGATCAAGGGCACATACCTTGGTTGCAGGCTCAATCTCCAGCGCTAGTTGGGGCTCGTGCAGGAGGCTACCAATCATTGTGTGTCTCTCACATCGATGTTTCTCTGTCTTCCCCCCTTCCTTCCACTCTCTCTAGAAATCCATGGAAAAAATACCCTTAGGTGAGGATTAACAAAACAAAGAGTAAATCCTAAGAGTTCACACCACAGGTTTTTACTTTTATTTTCTCTTTTTTTTTTTGTATCAACAAAAGATGAAAGGTGTTAACTGTGTTGTTTCATAATACATATAAGTCAGATCATTATTCTGTATATTATACAGTACTGTATGTCAATTATATCTTAAAGCTGAAAAAAAATCATTTTCCTCCTATACTACTGACATTGGCCTCTAATTTGTCTGTCTTCCTCCTCGTGTTTGCAGTGTATATTCCCCATCTTATATGAATGCACACCTTTCTGGGGTCCTTCACTTTCACTGAATTCTCAGACCCCATGAGTACACAGGAAGAGTTCATGAGCAGCACTGGTGGGCAGAATGTGCGTCATCCCTGCTCTGGGCCCTCTCCCCTACCAGCTGCTTGAACCGAGGAGAGATGTGTCCAGCTCAAACCCTCTGCCTATCGAGTGGGCTGGGAGGAACAAGATCTCCCATGTCCAAGCCAAACCCGTTTCAAGCCACAATTACCTGGTTTCGATTCCAGCCCCACTCGGTCAGACATCATGTGTCTCCACATTCCTTCATGTGGCCACAGACTGCGTGGCGAGTAGGGCCAGCAACAAAACAAGATGTCACCCAGGCGGTGTGGCTCAGTTGGAACATTGTCCTGTACACCAAAAGGCTGCAGGTTCGATTCCCTGTCAGGGTACTAACTCAGGTTGTAGGTTCAGTCCAAAGTTGGGGCATGTATGGGAGGTAACCAATCATGGGATGTTTCTCTCTCCCTCCTTCTCTCTCTAAAAAAATCAATTAACAAAAACACAAGATGTCTGGGATTCTGCTGAGGGTTGAAAGGACGCCCATCATCTGTTCTTTGTATTGTCCTTTTGTTACCCAGGTTTAGCTTCCAAGGTGTACGAACATCGAATGTGTACCGCCAGAAAGGTAAGAGATTTGTCACCCTTACCAAGAGGTGAACTGTTGGATGCTTACAACCAGCTCTCAAAATAAAACCCTGGATTTCAGTGTTTGTCAGTCTCTGAGGTGTAAATACTCCTAAAGGTGCATCCTGTACATCCCCTACCAGGGCCGGGAATCAAGCCTGCAATCGAGATACATGCCCTTGACTGGAATGGAACCCAGGATCCTTCACAGTCCATGGGCAGACGCTCTATCCACTGAGCCAAACTGGCTAGGGCACCCCCCCAACTTAAAGATGATTCCCATGATGTACCCTCTCAGCCCTGGGATCCCAGAGGCACTCTCCACAAGTGGTCATCACCACATTCCCGTGTGGGTTTCTGTGTTTGCTGCCATCTCTCTATTGGAAGCTCCAGGGGCCACACCACCCAGTGCCTGGTGGGTGACCAGCACATAGTGGCACTCAGGGAATGTTTTGTAGAAGGGAAGGGCCTGAGAGTAGGGAGAAGGGAGAGAAGACAGCCAAGAGAGTTCATTTAACTTATTTGATCTCTTTGTACAAGAGGAATAGCCACTGGAACTATACTGGGTACGTCTTGATACAAAGGATGTATCAGTGAGGTGCTCTCAGTTAAATGGTTTGAATAATAAGAGAAATCCATTCCCTCACTAACAAGAAGCTCCAAGATGGGGCGGCTCCAGGTTGGTGTTTAGAGACCCCAGTTCTTCCTCTTTCTGCTCTGCCTTCTTAGGGATAAACTCTGCCCCCACAGCTGCTGAGAGCTGTAGGCATCATCTGGATATAGCCATGTCCTACAGGAAAGGCATGTGCTCCTTCCTGTGTTGCTCTCTATAGGAATAAGGAAAGTTCTCAGAGGCCACATGCCTTGCCCTAACCCAGCCCTGAAAGGGGACTGGAATGACCAAGGTTCTCAGTGTGGTGCCCCGACCAGCAGGATAAGCATCACTTGGGAGCTTGGTAGAAATTGGCGGGAGAGAGCAACGATCTGAGTGGTTTTTTAAAAAACTGATTTGAGCAAGAGAGAAAGGGGTGAGAGAGAATCATTGATTTGTTGCACCACTCAGTTATGCACTCACTGATTCTTTTTTTAAAATCAGTTAATATAGTCATTTGTTTCAAAACTTGGTAAATACCATTTTAAAAACGATTTTCATTGATGATAAATGTAGCCTAAAATTTTAGAGAGGGAGGGAAACACCAATGTGAGAGCTGTATCAATCAGTTGCCTCTTGTACGCACCCTGACTGTGGGTTGAACCCACAACCTGTGTATATGCCCTGACCAGAATCAAAGCACAGGATGACACTCCAACTGAGCAACACTGGCCAGGGCCAGGTGATTCTTGTATGTGCCCTGACGAGATCAAGCCTGCAACCTTGGTGTATCAGGATGACACTCTAACCAACTGAGCGACCCAGTCAGGGCCTGCGATCTGAATTTTAAAAAGTCCTCCTGGTGATCTGATGCTTAGTAAAGTTTAAAAAACAGAAGGGGTGCCCAGGCAAAAGCCGATGACTGATGACTGGTGTTTGACCCTCCCCACCTTTGCCTTCTCTCTTTCCCACCAGCTACCAGAGATTCACTGACTGTTATAAGCGCTTCTACCAGTTGCAACCTGAGATGACTCAGCGAATCTATGACAAGTTTCTAACACAGTTGCAGACATCCATCAGGGTGAGTGACAAGAAGCCCAGCAGCTACTGTTTGTTGGCTTGGGTCCTGCCTCCAGACTCTCGCCCCCTGGAGGCAGGGACCCTACTCTCCACTGTCCTCACTCCCTACAGCAGTGGTTCTCAACCTTCCTAATGCTGCGACCCTTTAATACAGTTCATGTTGTGGTGACCCCCAATTTCATTGTTACAAATTGAACATAATTAAAGCATAGTGATTAATCACAAAAACTATATGTAATTATATATGTGTTTTCCGATGGTCTTAGGCGATCCCTGTGAAAGGGTCGTTCGACCCCCAAAGGGGTCGCGACCCACAGGTTGAGAACCGCTGCCCTACAGTGTCTTTCGTGCTGCCAAGCTGCAGTGGCAGTTTCCCTCCCTTCACATGGTGCGGGTGTCTTAAATGCCCCGCCTGTCATTGTCCTTTATTATAATTGTGTTTATATGCTGTCTGCCCACTAGACCTGTGAGTTCAGTGAGGGCATGTCTGGGTCTTATTCTTTGCTTCTCCAGCACCTGGTGCAATGCCTGGCACAGAGGCAGCATCTAAAAAATTGTTGGAACTGCACAGTAGAGGGAACACAAAGGAGGACAGGATCCCATTCGTTATCTCTCTAGAGCAACCTGTGGGTCGCAACCCCTTTGGAGGTCGAACGACCCTTTCACAGGGGTCGCCTAAGACCATCGGAAAACACATATATAATTACATGTTGTTTTTGTGATTAATCACTATGCTTTAATTATGTTCAATTTGTAACAATGAAATTGGGGGTCACCACAACATGAGGAACTGTATGAAAGGGTCGTGGCATTAGGAAGGTTGAGAACCACTGTGCTAGAGAATGAAACGGTCCTGTGGTTACACCTCAGGATGGGCCTCTTAAGCATCCAAGTGTGTGTGGGGATGACGGCAAGGCCTGCAGCGCTCAGATGGGCAGGAGAGAGGCTTGCTGCAGGCTCTTTTTAAATGTTTCCCACTTTATCCTTTTATTTATTGATTTATTTTAGAGAGAAACATCGATTTGTTTTTCCACTTATTTATATTTATGCATTTATCAACCACAACCTTGGTGTATCAGGATAATGTATAACCAACTGACCTATCCGGCCAGAGCCTATCTTTATTTCCTTAATGTAAAAGTCACAAGTAGAAAAACTAGAATGTTTGTGTAAAGAAACAACAGAATTTAGCCCAAATCTTACTAAATGCAGTTAGCAGTTTAGCATATTTCTACTATAAGCTTGTCTAGTATCATTATAGCTCTTTCTTCCTTTCTCTTCAGGAGGAAATCTCTGAAATCAAAGCAGAGGGAAACCTGGAAGCTGTCCTGACGGCCTTGGATACAATTGTGGAAGAAGGCAAAGACCGAAAGGAGCCGGCCTGGTGAGGAGGACCCCGGGGGGCTCACAGAAAGGGGCAGCACCTCAGCATCTCGAAGGAGCTTTTTTATTGTTCTTAATCCTCATCCGAGGATATTTTTTCCATTGATTTTTTTACAGAGAGGAAGGAAGAGTGAGAAACATCAATAAGAGAAACTTCGATCAGCTGCCTTCTGCACACCCACTACTGGGGATGTGCCCGTAACCAAGGTACATGCCCTTGACCAGAATCAAACCTGGGACCCTTCAGTTCACAGGCCGACGCTCTACCCACTGAGCCAAACCGGTTAGGGCTCCATTGATTTTGAGAGAGAATGGGAGGGAGGAAGAGGGAGAGAAACATTGACGTGAGAGAGACACAATGATTGCCTCCCGCACGCACTGGAATCGAACCCATGACCCTTATGTGCCCAGGCTGACGCTTAGACATTGAGCAACATCAGCCAGGGCTTGAGGGAGCTTTTATGATGGACCCATAGGTATGAGACTCTGGGCTCACGAGAGAGGACCCTGTGACAGGGACAGGTGGAGAGGACAGACACCAAACAAGAACCCCCCCCCCACACACACACACACCATCTGTGAAAAGTATAGCCCCTTCTGGGGAAGAGTCCAAGGGCAAGTACATGCTGTCTAGGGGTTTGAGGCGGCTGAGGAAACCTTCCTGGGGAGCTCATTTCGGAATCTGTCTAGCCGTGAGAGAAAGGATGGGGGAGTGGAGGAGGCAGAATTAGAGGTTTGGAATCTCTTCATTTGTTCATTCAACCAATTTTAGGGAACATGGACTGTACACACCCAGTAGGTGCCAGAGATCCCACAATGCACAGGACACGAAAGACCTGGTTCTCCTGGAGCTGACATCTCAGTGGGCAGCCCTGCTGCCTGGTGTCCTGTGCAGGATAAAGAAAGAAATTTAAAAAGAACCTATAGTGGCTTCCACCCCAGTGCCTATCAGAACTGACCCATCTCCTCATTCTGGCATCCAGGACCCCTATAATCTGGCCTCACCAGCCCCAGCTTATCTTCCCTTGTTAGCGAATACCAGGGCCTCTCCAGATCGGGGCCCATTTTCAGGCAGCCACTCCATCTGGGAGGGCTCATCCTGCACCACCATCCCCACATCTCCAGCTCAGTCTAGAGTGGGTGCACCATCAGGGCACATGGTCAGCAGCACAGAGGCAAAGGCTGAAGTCACCTCTAGCTCTGGAGTGTTCGAGATGGGGGACTGTATGTGGGCAGGAGGAGAGTGTGGGGTACTGCTGGGAAGGCTAAGATACAGGGTGTGAGATGGGGGACTGTATGTGGGCGGGAGGAGAATGTGGGGTACTGCTGGGAAGGCTAAGATACAGGGTGTGAGAAGGGGGAGGTAGATTCCTGGGCACCAAAGCTGAGGGACAGAAGGTTAGCGTTTCCATCAGGAGCAGCCATGCGACTGGGTCTTAGAAGGTGGGAAGGACCCCAGAAGAGACCTTAAAAGCCAGTCCACTTTGAGATGGGAGGTGGGAACATCACTGATTAGAGCTGAAGTAGAGCCCTCATCCCACGTCCTCCGCCTTCTTACGCTGTGCTCCTTGCCACTCTCCAGGCGCCCTAGTGGGATCCCAGAGAAAGACCTGCGCAGCACCATGGTGCCCTACTTCCTACAGCAGCGGGATGCCCTGCGGCGCCGGGTGCAGAGACAGGAGGCTGAGAATAGGCAGCTAGCAGATGCCGTCCTGGCCGGGCGCAGGCAGGTGGAAGAGCTGCAGCTGCAGGGCCAGGCTCAGTGGCAGGCTTGGCAGGTAAGTGCTTTGGCCCTGCCCTCAGGCACCTGTTCCCCTGCTGCAGCAGAGAAAAAAAGACTGAGAGATCAGAGACATGGGGGACACTTTGGGGCCCTTATTGGAGATGGACTCTGCTCCGGGGAGGCCCAGTCTAGGTGGCCAAAGCACCAGCCGGACATAAATGCCTGCTGAGTGTGTGTGTGGGGGGGGATCTCCTTACATGCCCTGCGGGGCCCTGACCCACATGAGCCACAGACCCACATCATTCTGGGGGAACCCAAGCCTGAAGGCAAGGACAGTCGATGGAAAGGATTTGGATTTTTTCCTCTCCCAATTTCCTTCTCTCCCATTGATGGCAGGCTCTGCACAGAGGACAGAAGGAGCTGGTGGCCATGCTGAGGGAGCCTGAGTAAGGGGGAGATGGCCGGCCCAGGAGCAGAAGGTGGTCAAGAGCCCTGTACAGCTGCAGTGTTGCCTAGTCCTGAGCAATGACGGAGTTTGCTGGGGGACGAGGTGTGAGCAGTCTCCACTGCCACTGTGCCTTGGGGAGCCTCGAGTCACACACTACCTTCCGTTTCCTTCTAACTTGAGGATTCTTGGCCAGATCCCAGCTGGGAGTCAGACATCATGCCGGCCAGCACCCCCCGACCCCCACCCCCACAAGCCTACTTCCTTACCCCTCCCTAGGACCTGGCTTGGAAATCTGTTTTCAGTCTCCACTGATTGCCCCTTTGCTGGCCAGCTGAGGGCCGGTGCCATGTTCCCTCCACATCCGTAAATAAACGCCCTCCACTGCACTGTAATCTGTGCGGGTGCTTCCGCTGTCTGGGACACTTGTGGGCCAAGACCCCCTCTGGGGCTCCTGAGTTCTGACCCCTGGAGGCCTCAGCTGGAGTTCACCGAGCCTCCAGTCTCAGGTGGGTTGGCAGGGGGGCGTCTGACCTTCACGTGCAGAGGGGCAGTGAAGCTCCTTATCACAGAACCAGGACCCTGGGTTCCTTGAGGCCAGGACAAGCTTTCAGAGTGTCACTGCCCAACCCAGTCCGCTCTCCCTAGGCTTGGGTTAATTCTGACAAAGGAACAGGTGCCTGAGGGCGGGCCAGAGCACTCACCGTGGGCCTCAGCGCTTGAGTCTGGTGAGAGCAGGCGGCCCTCCAAACAGCTGGGCGCGTAGTCCTCGTTTCTCAGGCTTCACTGACCCAGGGCCCGCAGAGCATCAGGAGGGGCTCAGCAAGGCAGGAGGGGTGCCTCCTCCAAACCATGGGGGAAGGGGGGGTCTCACCCTAACTCTGGAGAGGCTGGGCTGGTCTGCCTAGGACAGTGATGGCGAACCTATGACGTGTGTCAGAGGTGACACGCGAACTCATTTTTTTGGTTGATTTTTCTTTGTTAAATGGCATTTAAATATATAAAATAAAATAAAAAATATAAGTGTTTGTTTTACTATGGTTGCAAATATCAAAAAATTTCTATATGTGACACGGCACCAGAGTTAAGTTAGGGTTTTTCAAAATGCTGACACGCCGAGCTCAAAAGGTTCGCCATCACTGGCCTAGGAGCACTGGGACACTCAGGAAGACATCAGGTGGCCCCTGCTTGCCACCCCTCAAATCAAGCACATGGCTCTTCTCTCCACCTGGAGCTGCAGCATTCAACCATCCAGTTGCCCCCCATCCCCTTCTACTCAGCCATAGGCCCGGGGGCGGGGCGGGCAGTGTGCTGTCAGGTGAGTGAGGTCACCCCCCCACCTCCAGGTTGGGCTGAGACAGAAGCAGAGCTCAGGGGTGGGATGGGGGTTTTCACATGAGGAGCCTGCAAGGGCAGGAAGAGAAGCAGAGGGTCAGGAGCCCAGTGCTCTCCATCTCCCTGCTCCTCAAAGGCCCTGTGAGGGCACAGGGAAGGGGGTCCCTGCCACGTGGACCCATCCTTAACCTCATGCCCAGCCCCTCCTGTGTTGGCTTTTGGCTCCTGGCCCTGTGCTACCTGACCATTCTCCTGTCCTGACCCACAGGGCCTGACTAGAGTCAAGCCACCCCCACACCAGGCCTGCCTTTGGCGTCTCGAAGGGTGAATGAGGCCATCACTGGGCACGCCCTCCCAGGGGTTTGGCTCCTGCCCACGGCTGACAGTGGAAATCACAATCATCGAGAGCTGTAGCCAGTTCTGCTCCAATCTATTTTGGACCTCTGGGCCCCTTCCTCTCTGGGTCCCTCCACACCCTCCTGGCATGTTTAGCTGAGGTTGGGCCTCTAAGAGAGAGTAGGGGCTGGGGGACCTCAGTGGCCCCCTTAGGGAGGGGCAGGGGGCATGCAGAGGCTGGCAGTCTCAGATTACCACCCACCCTCCTCCTCCACTCCAGGGGCCTGCCCAGGCTGCCCTGGTTCCAACCACAACATCCTTTGGGGTTTGGCCTATAGATCTGGGGCGGATGACCCCAAATAGCCCTGGCAGAGTCCCCTGCGACCCGCCCGCACTGTGATCGGGCGGCCCACCCTGGCCTCCGGGGCAGAACCCAAGAGTATAAATGTTGCTGGAGGCTGGTGGAAACACCGGAGTCTGAGCAGACCAAAGCCACCGCAGAGACACCATGAGGCCCCGCATGCTCCTCACCCTGCTGGCCCTGGCCGCACTCTGCCTCGCTAGCCAGACAGGTGAGTCCCCACTCTGCCCCAGCGAGGAGGGAGCACGCACTCCTCACCCCTCCACTGGCAGTGCAGTCCCTCTGGCTGTCTAACCCCCTCCTCCAGGAGGGTAGGCGCCATCCATTTGCCCTGCCTCTGTCCCTGTGGAAGGAGAGGGGAGAGCAAACTGCCAGAGGCAGGGGAGGAGGGGGCTTAGGGGTGAACTGGGGTCCTTTCTTTTGCAGATGCAAAGCCCAGTGGTGCAGAGTCTGACAGAGGAGCAGGTAGGAGGCAGGCCTGACAGGGGCTTTGTGCCACATCACCCAGCTGCCCAGCGGTCCCTCACCCTGGCCCCCTCAGTCCCATTTCCCCCCTCCTCCTGGCTCCTCTCTGGCTGTTAGAAGGCCAGCCTGCTCCCCATCTTATCCCCCCAAACTCTCAGCCACCTGACTCCTGCCCCTCTGCTCCCACAGCCTTCGTGTCCAAGCAGGAGGGCAGTGAGGTGGTGAAGAGACTGCGGCGCTACCTGGATCCTGGGCTGGGGTGAGCAAAGGAGTCTGGGAGGACAAGGAGGGCCCTGGTGACGCGGGAGTGGAGGGGGCAGTTTGTGTGGAGGCTGATGCCATTGTGTTGGGCTGTCAGAGCCCCAGCCCCAGCCCCCTACCCAGATCCCCTGGAGCCCAAGAGGGAGGTGTGTGAGCTCAACCCGGACTGCGACGAACTGGCTGACCACATCGGCTTCCAAGAGGCCTACCGGCGCTTCTACGGCACAGCCTAGAGCCTAGAGCCTGCAGCCCTGCTGCCCTGCCGGCCGCCCCCTGCCCTGGCTCCTCTCCAGAACCCCTTCCCCTTCCCTCGCCCTGACCTCCCTGCCCTACAAGTGTGGGGTCACCATCTGCCCAGCTGCTCCAGAATAAACTCCAGAAGAGGAATTGGTGGCGTCTGATTCTTTATCTATGGAGGGTGGGGAGGTGCTGGGAGGGTGGGGAGAGGCAAGGGTGTTTTACCTCCTTCAGTCCCAAAAAGTGCTTCCCAAAGTCTGTTGACTTTTTTTATTTGTATCTGCCTCATTCCAGAAGCACTGAAGTTGGCTTCCTAAAGTCTAACTAGGATTCCCCCTCTGGCCCAGCACCCTCCCCGCCACCCCAACCCAGTGCACCATCCCTGACCCACCCAAACAGACCAGACGCCCAGAGCTGAACGTCTTGAGTACACGACTGTGACCAGAACAGACTCGTCACCACAGGCAAAGAGCTGCCGGCGGACAGCACTGCCTGGTTTGGGGGTGGGGGCAAGAGTGGGCCTCCTGACCTGGTTAACAGCATTCAGGGTAGGCCTAGGTTAGTCATGTTAGTTCTTCCTTGGGCTAAACAGACTTCCAGGAGCACCAGAAATGGGGCTAGATGAAAGGGCCCCGACACCTCCCCATCCCAGCCTCTGCCTGGGAAGGGGAGGCTCTCCAGCCTGGACACACACACCTCCCCTCTCAGACCCTCAGCACTTCCCCAGCCCCATCAAGAGCTCCCTCACTGACCCTCCTGCTCTCTGCCAGCCCCACCAGCTCCTCTCCTCTGCCTTCTCTCCTCTGCACTCTCTCAGTCACGTTTGCTTCCAGGCTCCTATGTGCCCCACACCTTTTCAGGTCTGGGTCTGGGCTCCTCCCCAGCAAGGCCTCACTGCTGTTTGGCGTTAGCACCCCCCTCCGGCAGACCACCCTGCAGCAGGGGGCATGTACTAGGGGCCCGAAATAGGGAGGCTGTGAAGGCAGCAATGATGAGCAGGTTCCCCGCCACTGCCAACCCCAGCGTGGCCACTGTGCCTGCCAGGCCCAGGGGGGGGTCCTGTGTGGCCAGCCAGGCTTGGCGAGACTCCATATCAGCCAGCACCGCTTCCAGCTGGAAGTGGGTGCCCAGCACTGCACAGACGTGGAAGAGCTGGTGGCTGTGGCCTGTGGGGAAGGTAGGCAGGTCAGGGCACATACCCATTCCCAGGGCTGCCCCAACTCACCCTCTGACCCATGGCAAGTCGCCCCATCATCTGGGCCTGCTACTACCCTAAACTTAGGAATAGGAAACCTGATTCCAAGAGCTCCTGGAAGGAGTGAATGAGCAGATGTGCATAAACACGATGCCCCAGCATACATGGGACTAGTTTTGCTGCTATCGGAGAAGCGGGGGGTGGGCCTGGACTCCGAGGACCCTCCAGTGCACTGTCTCCTGGCTGCATACGCCATTTACTCAGCTCAATCTCTGGGTTCTGGGAAGCTGTCTCCCTGGCCCTTTCCTCACCAGGCTGGGCCTGCTCTCACCAATGTAGTCAAAGCGTCCCGGTGCCAGCCGCTCAGGCAGGTGAGAGGCGAAGAGAAAACCAGTGAGCAGCGCGCACAACAGGTGGTAGCCATGATTGGTGCTTAGCGCCTCTTGCCCACAGCTGTGGCCCCGGCCCCAGCACAGTCCCAGCTGGCAAAGGAAAAGCAGGGCTGAGCAGGAGGGATTGGAGAGCGGACCCACATGTGTCTGGAATCTAGTTGGGGGGGGGGGGGGGCAAGCCAGGCTGGGTGCTGGGCCTGGAGGGGAGGCAGCAGGGCTGAGGTGAGATTGAGGGCAGGACTGGAAGGGGCACTGAGAGGACAGGAAAACAGGGGCCTGACAGGAGCCCTAAGCCCCCTTACCCGATAGAAGAGAGGAAGGTTGTCAAACAGGAAGGGGTAGGCGAAAGCGCCCGTACGGAGGATCTTACTGAGCCCAGGGCTTTCCAGCTCAGGGAACCTGGGAGGCAGGAGGGAAAGGCTGGTCACCATCCTGGTGCCAGGGTGGGAGTCAGAGGGGCAGGAGGCTCTGACCAAGATGGACTGTCAATGTAGCTTAGTGACACGTGGCCCCTCTGTAAATGACCACATCTGTGAAATGGGTGGCTGGGAGGATAAAGGAACGGCAGGTATGGTGCTAGCGCACGGGCTCCGACACAGCAATTCTCAATCAATGGTCCCGTAGCTCTTAATGATGTTCAAGAGCGACCCCAGGTGTGAGTGTGCTTGCGGCGCCCGGTCCTGTCCCTCCGCCTCCCCCTTCAACACTGGCCGAGAACCCACCGAGAGTAACAGGAGAGGCCGGTGCACAGGAAGGAATTGAGTGCGGCGGCGGGCACAAAGAGCTGGTGCAGGCGGCCGTGCAGCCAGGAGGCCGGCATGGAGTAGGCGGCGTAGGGGAAGGCGCAGCCTGGGGGCGCGGGGCAGGAGCTGAGGCCCACAGGGCGTGCTAGGGCGGAACACCGCGCGCCGCCACCCCCTCCCCGACACACACACCCCACACACACCCCAACCCTGTAGTCCCACCCCTGCCCCCGCCTCCCGCGGGCTCACCCAGGCTGTAGAGGCTGAGCGCGCCGTAGTCCAGGAAGTAGCAGATGTGCCGCGCGCGGGGCGACATGGAGCTGAAGGTGTGCGCACAGCACGACGCGAAAGGGTAGAGGCAGGTGGGCAACAGGAAAACGAGCAGCGGCCAGTGGTAGGGCTCCGCCCGGAAGCCCGGGCCTCCCGCGAGCACGAGCAGACGCCACAGGAAATACCTGCGCGGCACGTGCACGTGCTCAGGCGGCCGCGCAGTCCCGCAACTCCCGCCTTCCGACTTCCGCCCGCGGCCGCCCGAGCACCCGCCCCCCGAGCGAAGAGCCCGGGACAGCCGCCCTCACCAGGTGGGCAGGAAGTGAGTCCAGATGTTGACAGTCTCGTTGGTCATCTGGAAGGAGCTGAGGACACAGTCCAAGGCCGAGCTGGTGGGGCGGCGGTAGCCAGACACGATGCCGTCTTCCCAGAACACCTGGGTGGGGGTGGGGGTCACTATGCTGGACCCTCTCTCTCCAAGGAGAGAGCTTGCAGGATTGAAGAGAAAGCGCTGGAGGTCACCATGACCCCACAGGCTAAATCTGACTGCCCTCTCATCACAGGTTCCAATACCCAGAAAGCAGATGAGACACAGAAGAGCCGGAAAGGGGACAAGATAGGATGGGAGAGTCGCCGGGCAGACAGGGTGCTCTGGGGGAGGGGACTCTAAACGAGCCTGCTCCTTAGAGAACAGGGTCTCCCGCTGGGATGGGAGGGGTAAGAGCTAGCTTGCAGGAGGGACTTCCCCGATCGCTGAGCGAGAACCTCAGTCCCAGCAGTCCCCTGGGGAGTAGGAGTTGGCCAGTGTAGCCCCTCACCCGGGGGACCTGGTGGACTTGAAGGAGTTGGGGCAGCTTGAGACTGAGCATGGTGGCCTGCACCTCCACGTTGACCTAGAGACAGAGGGTTGGGGGAGGAAATCAGGTATCTGCTCCCGTCCACGGACTCCTTATCACCCAGGTCCAGGCTGGGCCTGGTCACAGTGCCAGGGTAGCTGGCCTCAAGCTGCTTCCTTCAGGCCAGGGGAGGCGGGCCCAGCTTCCCTGACACCTCCCCCGTCCTAGCCTGGGGCATCCATTTTCCCCTTAACCCAGCACAAAGTGGAGGGGCCTCCTCCCCAGCTGGAATACTGTCTCGGTAACCCCGACCCTGGGTCCCATCCCCCAGCCCTCCAGTTCCATCTCAGGAGAAGCCTAACTCATGGAGGTCAGTGCAGAGGCCCCAAGCCACCCTCCACCACCAGAAGCCCTTGCTTGGCCCAGTGTGCAGGCTGAGCACCCAGAATTCCTGGAGAGGCCAGATGCCGGGGCAGGGAATTAGGGGGGATGCCTGGCTCTTCTCCGAGGGCACTTGTGCCCCTGGACATTCAGGGTCTCTGTCCCCGAGCCCCCTGCCCCTCAGCCCCAGACCTGTGCAATGCCTCCGGGTGGCCGTGGCTCTGCTGCCCGCCGGCCTCAGGCCGCCTCTCCCAGGCACATTCCTTGGCACAATTGGTGGGGCTGGGCCAGCTAGGCGGATGGAACCACCCTAGGAGGAGGGAGAGGAGGACACTCCCCCCATCTCCCAGGGCCAAAACTTTCCAGCAACTCCACAACCTAGCCCCGCCCCTCTTCCTGCCACCAGCCTCACGGTTCACAGTGGGCCTCACACCAATCGGCCCCCCAACAGTGGGGGCTCCCTGCCCCTGCCCTAGGGACTGGGCTGGGCACAAGACAGACCTGGTCCCTAGTCCCTGCACCCTGGCTGAGCTTTACGATAGAGGCCTCGAAGGTACTCCTTGCCCAGGAGTAGGATGGGGGTGGTCTGACCCATCCCAAGTGCTGCCCAGTGGCCTGGGGGAGGGGTGGGAAAGCAGGATGCTGGCTGGGCTCTAGCTGCCACAGGGGTCCTTCCCTTACCATAGGGTTTAGAAGTCTGTGTAGAGTGTGCTGTAGCCTTGGAGATGAGGGAGGGGCTGGAGCTGGCCCTAATTCCCCAGAATGGTGACAGCCCCAGGTGAGCTTCCTTACCCAGAGCTTGACTGGAGCTCCCAAGCAGGTGGGTCAGCAGGCCCGGGTGCTCCTGCCAGCCAGGCCAACGGGAGGGAGGAGAGTGGCAGGCCAGCAGGCCAGGGGATGGGAGACAAAGGAGCCAGAAAACAATCCCAGCCTTGTCCAGCCTCCGGGAGCAGCACAGGGTGGCCCAACCCCATTAGCAGGCAGCTCACTGGGCCTTCAGCACACAGCCAACCCCTCCAGCCTGACTCAGACCCACTGCGATCAGGACTGGCCCGAACAGGCTGGAGCCCTAGCCAGGATGCAGCCAGTGTGGCGCAGGCTCCCAGATCTGGCTGCGCCACCATTCCAGTCCTCCCAGGAGCCGGGCAGAGAATCCCAAATCCTGGTCTTGGAATCAGAAACCATCTCTCACTGTGCTTCACTGCCTCTGAGCACCTGGTGCTGGGCCGACTCCAGAGCAAATGCCTTTAGCACATGTTGGTTCAACAAGAGATTTGCCAAGCTTACTCCCCAAAGACGCACTTAAGGTACCAGTCCTTGCAGAGGGATAGGGATTGAATCTGGCTTCAAGGTTCATCCCCTGCTCCCTTGAGGAAATTTCCCGATTCATAGGACCCAGCAAACAAGTCCCAGCAAACGTGGCCTTCAAAATCCTGTTTTCACCCATCACCCTTACAAAGGCACCAGCTGTTTACAGGATCAAGGAACTTGACAATGTCACTATGTCTGGAGCTTTTGCTGAAATTCCAAACTTCTTGCTTCAATGCATTCATTCACCTTGAAGAAATCTTTCCAAAATGCCATTTTTTAGCACACCATCTCCAACATCCCAATAAAACTGCAGAAAGGCACCTGGAGACAGGGAGTGGGCTTCAGGGGTCTTTATTAAATGATGCTTTAGCCTCAGTCTGTCAGAGATTGGGAGGGGGTGACCCTATCCCCCAGGCTGTCCCAGACTTGCTATCTTGGAGGAAGGAGGCAGGATGTCTGCTCTCCTCTGAGAACAGCCCGGGAAGCTAGGCTAGTGCTGGGGTGAGGGACAGCAGAGCTGAGATCCCCACCCTCAACCCCTGGGGGAGGGGCCAAGGCAATCCTGGCCAGTCACCCACAGCCCCACTCTCGCTGCTCCCTTCACTGTCCTGAGCTATTCATGATCTCTGCTTCCACAGTCACCTCCACATCCCAAGAGCTAGCCCCATGCTCAGCCCCACCAGGCCTTCGGTCCTGGGGAAGGGCGAAGCAGGAAGCCCATCAGGATTAGGGCCCTGACTGGGCAGCTTCAGGAGGCCTCTCCTTTCTCTAGTCAAGGGGGTGGTGGCCTCAGACTGCATCCCCCTCTCTTCTTACTGGCATCCCACTGTTGCAGCACAGCAACCAAGAGCACAAAGCACGGTGACTGTGGGACTGGTGGGCACAAGAACACCCCTGGCACACAGGCCAGACTGCCCACAGCTGGTGAGGCCTGCTCCCTGCCCGGGAAGCTAGGCAGAGGGAGAGCACAAGTGGGGAACTGGGTGTGCAGCCCCAGCAGCACGGGAGGGATGCAAGCCCGGCCCCCTGCCCGTGCAGCCAGCTCCAGGCCCCTCTTCTTGAAGAGTCCCCAAAGCTCCAGAGCTGCCCAGGCCCCACAAGGGGAAATGAGAACGGGTGGTCTCTGAGGAGGGCAGGGTCTGCAGAAAACCACCCAGATACCTGGTGCTGCCTCCTCTTCCCCAGGACTGGAGGGTCCAAACTCCTAGCCCAACCACCCCCCATCTTAGGTGAGGAAGGGCCTCTTCTGCCTCCCTTCCCCTCAGAGGTCCAGGAATCACGCCAGTGAAACTCAGACACCCACGCCTGCCACCCGCCTCTGGGGACAGCAGGAGGGTTGAGGCAGGAAGGCTGACTAGGGGCCCACAGGCCTCTCCTGCTCCAAATACTTTCCTCACTTCCTGACGTCGTCTTGGCAACAGGGGGTGCCCACCCTCCCAGCTGGCTCCTGGGCCCTCCCTCAGCCTGTGTGCAGCTGGGCTTCCTTCCTGAGTGCGTGCGGGAGTCTGTGGTGGGGTGACTACAGGTGGTGGTCCCAGCAGCCAGAGAGGGCAGGAGAGATCTGGAGTCAGCCCCACTGCAGGGCTTGGGAATCAGTCTCAACCAATCTCCTTCCACTGCTTGTAGAAGTCCAGGACATTCTTGATGTCCACACTGGCATGCGCAGCGGCCTGCAGGGCTGCCTGTGGAGGGGAGCAAGAGAGATGGGTGAGAGTCTGACTCCTGAACTATGGGACAAGTCGCTGAGGGGAAGGGGTGATGGAAGAGGAAAAGGGCCACCGCCCGGGAGGTCTGAGGAGGGAGCCTCCTCCGGTACCTCTTCCCCATTCCAGGCCCCTCTCCTCGCCCGCTAACCCACCTGCATAGGGCCCGAGAGCACGCTGGGGTTGTCCAGTGGAAGGCCTGTGATGATGGTCACCATGCCACCTGGGTCCTCCTCACCTGCCCCCTGGGCTAGAGTCAGTTGTTTGCAGCTGTCCAGGATCTTATAGAGGGTCCTGGTGGGGAGGAGAGGAAGGTAGGCCAAGCCCCAGCATTAGCACAGCCTAAACCCCAGGATTTCCAGGGCACAGGGGAAGCTAGGGAGCAAGAGCAACCAGGCAGATGAGGCAGGAGGAAGCTGGCACTGGAGGGTGTGCCATGGGGAGTGGGCAAAGGCGCACTGAGGACACCAAGCCTGAGCATCTCAAGGCCCCAGGGAATCGGGTGCTGGAGCAACTCCTTCCTCCAAGGGGACTTGCAGGAGGCCCGGGCTGGCCCTGCCACCTGTGCCAGAGTTCCTTGGCCCTGTCCCCTCTCCCAGGGAGTGGCAGAGGAGCGAAGCAGGCAGGCTACCTGAGGTTCTAGGGGGAGGGGCTGAAACTTTACCAGGCATCTGCATCCTGTCTCTTCAGCTTATGTCGCTCAAAGCTCTTCCCCACCTCTTTCTGGCAGCGAATGTACCTGCAAAGAACACAGGAGAGTGGAGGTGGGGGGCACAGGAGCAAGGGCACTGCACACAAAGCAGACCATTGTGGCTCAGGGGCCTAGCTCTACGGAGCAGGGAGGGGGCACATCTCTCCCATCACAGGTCTGCTGGGAGCCATTTCGAAGTTTCCTGGCCGCTGGCTCGCTTTTCTTCCTGATAACATCAATTGCTCGGTTCCTCCCAGTGGGGGGAGTTGGGAGGGGAGAAATAGCAGATGCTTTTCAAGTCAGGGCTTCTGGAGACAAGGTCCAAACAAGTAGGCTTTGTACAGCTTCCTGGCAGATGTGGGGTGGGGTTTGGGGGGTGTCAGCTAGCAGGGAGGCCAGAAGGAAAGGCCTGTGTGGGCCGAGCACCTACATGCTGCGGTCTGATCGTCACGGCTTCAGTGGGAGGTGGGAAGCCCCAGGCAGCCCCAAGAAAGCACTGCCACCCTAGCAAACCTGGGCACAGTCCCAACCCTGTGAGCAGGAGAAACGCTTGCAACGGTGCCCACAGCCTGGAGCTGGGGTTTGCTCCCTTCTCCCCGGAGATGCTGATCTCATGTTCGCCCCAGAGGCAAATGGACAGCAGGTCAGTGCTTCCCCCCACAGCTCCTGGCCCCCCCAATCACCCTCTATTTCAGCACCTAAGACCTTGACTTAGTAGGTCTTTGGTTTTCCCTCCCCAGCAGTGAGCAAACTGTGCGCAGGGACTGCAAGTGTGTGTTTTATCCACAGTAACACACACGCATTTGTTGTCTGAGACGCATACGGGCTCAGCACCGGTCCAGTGGGCCTGCGCTCACCTGTTTCCTTTTTTAAACTCTGCCTCTAGGTATCGGATCCCATCCCGGGCCCCTGGCTGTTCCTTCTTCAGCAAATCCAGGCCATCGATCACTAGTGGGCAAGGCGGGGGAGGGGGGAGACAAAACAGATGAACTCAGAGTGTGTGACACGGCTCTCTGCAGGCAGTGGCTGAGCTCCTCCAGCACACACTGCGGGAAAAGAAGGGATGGACCGTGGCTCCGACGGCTCCTGAAGTCCTTCAAAAGTATGACCTCCTGCCAGTCATGGACTTGGCAATTTACCAATTGCTTTCATTTAGATATTCTCCTCTGTTTCTCCCAACCATCTTGTGAGTCAGGATTTAAGAGATCATGCCCATTTCACAGATGAAATGACTGAGGTTCAGAGTTGAAAGCACTTGACCAAGGCCACTGTGTATAAACTGGGCTCCAAATAAAGATCTCTCAATCCCAAGCCCAGAGTTTATTTTAGCCACCTTCTATCTGTCCTCCCACCTCCCCAGTATGCTCACCTGTCCTTGGGATGATGACAATGAAGCGGCCACTGGTGGCCAGCTGGCGGATGATGGGGAGGTGGTGGCAGAGGGCCTGGGTGTCAGGGACGAGGTAGGGTGACATTGCTGACTGGGCCTTGGGCTGCTGTAGGCTCCCTTCCAGCTGAGAGACCTCGAGCTGGTGAGAGAAGGCATAGTGGGTGGAGCTGTGTGGGCTCCGCAGCCTGGCAGGGGGAAAATGGTTCTCAAAGGGGCTCTTATAGGGCTCCTCCTGCTGCCCCAGGGACAGGGGACTCCTTCTACCAATGACCTTGGAGGAAAAGTAGACAGAAACAAGGGTTAAAGTAAAGAGAAAGAGAAGAAAAAGAGGCAGAAGTGAAAGCAGCCAGACGGCAAGGCCCTGTGGAGAATGGGCTTCGGGAGGCGATCTGGGAGGCCAGGAAGGGAGTAATCTGGGCAAAGTGGGGGGCCCCAGGGGAGCAGGGGGGCTGCAGCTGGAGGGGTGAGGACCTGCCAATGGGCTGTAGGCAATAACCAGATCAGGAGGAGGAGCACCTGAAGTCGCAGCTGGGCCATGTCTCTCATAAGTCTGTTCCGCCGAGCTTCTTCCTGCGCCTGCAAGGGAAACACCGAGTGCTAAGGACCAAGGGCTACGCCTGGGACGAGGCGCTGAGGCAGCACTCCTTCCCTCAGCGGTCAGACCAAGCAGAGAGCTGGGGTCTGAAGCAGGCATGGCTCTCCACCGACCCCGCTAAGTGCGAAGAGAAGCGCAGGAGAAAAACATCGCTCACTCGGTTCCAACGCCAGGAGGGAGGCCGCAGACAGCGGGCACTCACGGCACAGGACAGCACCTGGCTGTGCCTCAGCGTCTGAGCTCTGCCCTCTGCCCCCTCCCTCCCCGGGGATAACTACTCCCCATGCACCCCATGCTAAAATATGATTAAGTCCTTCCATCCATTTCCCCTCCTTCTAATATTCCAAAGCATCCTTAAAGCATTCCTCAAAACTATCCTTTTGCCTGTGCTCTGTAGCTCATACCCAACCTACCCCTTCCTTAGGGACCTTGTCTCTCTCTCCTCTGCTGACCTTCATCCTTAAAACATTCCCCTGCCTCTATCACCATCCATCTGCCCAGTTCTTTTTAATACATTTTTACTGATTTCAGAGAGGAATGGAGAGGGAGAGAGAGAAAGATAGAAACATCAATGATGAGTGAGAATCACTGCTTCCACTGGGGATCAAGCCCGAAACCCAGGCATGTGCCCTGACCCGGAATCTTACCATGACATCCTGATTCATAGGTCGACACTCAACCACTGAGCCACACCGGCCAGGCCACTTGCCAATTTCTTTCAAATCCTGTTTCAGCCTCGACCTACCAACCTGAAACACATATCCAACTGCCTACTTGGCAGCCCCATCTACTCCTCAAAACCTGCTCCT